AGTTCTTTGGGGACAGGAATGGGAGGAATCCCAAGGATTGAAAGGCGCCGTGGTTCTAGGGCTGGAGGAATAGAGTTCCTAAGTCCAGCGGAGAGGCTCCCTAAAGGGAGCAAGTTAAAGGGGAGGGACGCAAGGGATTGGGAACGGGGGAGTTGGGGTTCAGACCACTCTGCATATGAAAACCTGTTCACACACACCCCGCCCGTCGCGTGTAGTCAACCCTGGGGTAAGGGTGAGGAGCTTTGAAGCCAGAGATGCAAAGCCTGGATGCTGGCCTGAGTCGTTCTGCTTTTGTATTTTCGCAGCTGGAACCCTACATGGACGAGAACTTCATCTCCAGGGCCTTTGCCACCATGGGAGAGACAGTGATGAGCGTCAAGATTATCCGAAACCGACTTACTGGGTATGTTCTCTCCTATCTTATAAGTTCTCCCTAAATTATGCAGCAACTGTCATTCAGGTGAATGTAAACATCGCAGAGAGTCACGACTTCTCACCCCTAATAATTAGTTATTATAATGTTATAAAAGCTAACATTTGGGGGCTTATTGAGAGGAAGTGTAGTATATTGCTTAAGGACTGCACTCTGGAGCCAGACTATTTGAAATCTATGTCTGCTGTGTGACCTTTGGTAAGTTACTTAACCTCTTCTCCTTCACCTTGACTATAGAAATGGAGATGATTATATCACCTACCTCAGAGTTATGGTGAGGATTAAATGAGTTCATTCGCATTCAGCATCTAGAATAGTATCTGGGATATGGTATATGCTCAGTAAATATAAACATGATCTGTTAGGTAATAAATACTTTAAAATCAATTTTTAAAATCATAAAAACTTCTGAGCTAAGTACTATTATTAGAGAAGCTTAATAACTGTCTTAAACTTACACAGCTATTAAATGACAAGCCAAAACTTGAATTCAATTCTGTCCTCAAAGCCATGAGTGCCCTTAACTCTTATGCTATTCATTTAAATTTTATAGAGTCATTCTGTGTTCTGTTCTAGATTCCCAGGATACATGGCCGAAACAAGCCAGACATAGTTCCTCCTCTCGTGGAGTTGACTACATTCTAATAGAATGAGACAATAAATGTGTAAACGAAACAATACAGAGAATATTTTCGGATAGTGGTGCCCTGTTGCCTTCACTTTCTTCTTTTTCTTTTGGGGTGGGCGTGGGGGAGATCTTAGTTTTCCTTAGGGTTCTAGTTAGAAACGAGAGGATTCTTTTATCAATTTGACAGTGTTTATTGAGTATCTACTCTGTGTCAGGTACTCTACTAAATCATCTTGCTAAAACATCAAATGGTTGAAAAATCAGATGAGAGATAGGAAGTGTGGTCAACTCTGGCTGTTTGCTTGACAAATACTTTGTGTATTCCGAACCTCAATAACTAGGGACTGATTTTCTGACTAGTATGTCATCCTAGTCTAAATATTTTTCTTCTTGCTTTCTTATAGACAGAAATCCCCGGCTAGTAGTATGAAAATATATTCTGTAATACTTTCTACTTTTTAAAACTCAGAATAAGTTCTGACATTTTAATTTTTATTGAAGTAAGATTTGGAACTATCCTTTTCTGCCCATGATTATTAAACTCTGCTGTTATGGTTGTCCTTACACATTACATTTACATCCTGCTTCATTTGACAAAGACTTTGTAAGGGCTTACAAGAATATTGTAAAGTACATAAATGTAAATTTAAAAACTGAGACCAGAGAAAATGATTGAAAATGATAAGACCCAAGGAAAAATAACGTGCAATAGATCATAGTGCTTAAGAATGTAGTCAATCTTTCCTTTCGGCCAGAATCACCATATTCCAGTAATTCGCCAAAACGACCAATACAAAAGGAAAGAGGGGAAGCATCCGCTATATGTTCTGTAGGCCTTTTAGAAAACATGGAGTCGTTCCTTTGGCCACATACATGTGGATCTACAAGAAAGATGTTATTGTAGACATCAAGGGAATGTGCACTGTTCAAAAAGGAATGCCCCACCAGTGCTATCATGGAAAAACTGCAAGAGTTTATGTTACCCAGCATGCGAATGGTTAAAATTATAAATTTTATGTATATTTAACCACAGTTTTTAAATTTGAAAAATAAATTCAGTCTGAAGTGCAGCGGCCACATCTCATTTATGACTGGTGGGACTATAAAATGGTTCAACCACTGGGGACAAGTCCAGTCCTAGGTGTTTATCCAAGAGAAATAAAAGCGTATATCCACAAAAAAGGACTAGAAAAAGAATGTACATAGCAGCTTTATGACAGCTGCCCAAAACTGCACCCAGCCTTGAGGTATCCATGAATAGGTACTGAGATATTTATACAGTAGAATACTACATGAAAGAAGCCTTACTGTATGATTCCATTTATTTAAAATTTTAGAATATACAAAATTAATCTAGTAGAAATAACTCAGCATCTTGATTTATGCATTTCATTGCATGTAAACCAAAAACAACAACAAAAAAAAACAAAATAATTGAACTCTGGTTAACAATATGTATGTTAAAATAATTGAAGGAAGCATACCAATATCTGTACCTTTGAAATGTATCAGAAAATAAGGATGCTAAATGAGTAGAGGGATGGATAGATGGATAGTTATGTGGTAAAATAAGTATAATCAAATATTAATTGTAAGTTGTAGGTATGTGGGTATTTACAATCATTTCAGTTTTCGTGTTTGGAATTCTTTATAATAAAATGTTGAGAAAAGAATGTAGTCAGACTATTTTAAATTCAAATCCAGCCTTTGGTACATACAAGCTATGTGGTTTAAGACATATTATATAATTCTGCTAAGTCTCAAGTCTTCTCATCTAAATGGAAATAATGCTTTCATTCACCTCACAGAGTTACGTGAGGATTAGATGAGATGGTACATGCGAAGTGGCTAGCACACTGCCTGGCCCATAGTGAGTGCTCGGTAATGGTCAGTTCTTACTGATGGTAGTCTTTACATTTGTGAGCCCTAAGATTCCAGCACACACAAGAGAGAAGGCACAGATTTGACCCACCATTTTTCTTAGCATCCACAAACATTTATGGAGCTTGTGGACTCTGTTCTGTGATCCTTGGGCTCAAGTACTGCCATTGCCCATACCTTCTTGGCTTTGTGTCCATTTGAACTGAAGATCTAAAGTAATATTTTTAGAAAAGTTTGGATTATTTCACTGGTGATAGCTTTAAGGTTGATGTTAAGGAAATGAACAGTTTTCAATATCTCTTAGTAGGAAGGATGTCAGAGGATAGGGATGTCAAAGGATATAGTCACATCTTCCTAATTATGTCTCTCAGTAATGCTTTCAAAATTAGAACACCAGGAATCGTACTGACATTCCCCAATTAGGTAAGGTCCGTGGGTTTCCTTTGTCCTACCAAATTGCGAGTTTCTTGAGGATAGGAACCATGTTCTCCAACTCTGTATCAGCCTGGCCTGTGGTAGGTAATTAAAAAGAACTTTCTTAACATAAAAAATTTCAAAAAAAACTACAAAGACTAGTACAATGAACTATCATACAGCCACCATCTAAATTCAGTACTTGTTAACATATTGCCATATTTTTCTTACCTATATCTATCAAAAGAGAAGATAGAGATATGTAGATTGATCATTTCTTTTTGCTGAGCCACATGAAAGTAAATTACAGGCATTGCGACTCTTCACTCCTAAACATTTAAGCATACATTGCCAAAAACTAGACATTCTTTTATATAACCACAATGCTCATCTCACACTAACAAAATTAATAATGGTTCCATAATACCACATAATGGCCAGTCTACATTTAAATTTTTATAATTGTCCCAATACCATCTTTTTTTTGTTTGTCTTTTGATGAATTAGGATCCAGTGAGAGATCAGACCCTGCATTTCATTTAGTTCTTTTGTGTTCTGTCTCTTTTTAATGTTGAACAGCCCACCTCTTTTCTTTTCTCATTGACTTTTTAAAGAGGTAAAACAAATTCTTACATAAGGTCCTACATTCTGGATTCTGGTCCTGTATTCTGGATTATTTGTTTCTTTGTGGTGGTGTTTTACTTGTTCTGTCCATAATATTTCCTGTAAACTGGGCATTAGATCTAAAGGTTTGATTGGATTGCCTTAAATATTTTTGGCAAAAGGACTTCCTAGGTGATACAGTATGGAAATGTTTACTGAGTCTGGGACTAGCCTGGATTGATAGTCCTTATATTCAGGTTTGTAAATTGGTTCTGAACTGGAATTTGGCAGGGAGCAAAAACAACGTGGGCTCTGATTAGAGAAACATTTTTCCCTTTCTTCAGGCCAGGACTCAATCTCTCATCTGGGAATGGTATCTTTAACCATTCTCTGTCTCTGTTTTCTTTTTTTCCAGGATCCCAGCTGGCTACTGCTTTGTAGAATTCGCAGATTTGGCCACAGCCGAGAAGTGTTTGCATAAAATTAACGGAAAACCCCTTCCAGGAGCCACACCTGTAAGGACACTTAGATAATGATGATGTTGCCATTTTTATTCTCATCAACTCATTTATTGAATCCCTACTGTCTGTTTATATTATTTCATTTAATCCTATAACAACCCTGAACAGTAGGCATTGTTGTCTTTGACAGACCAGGAAATCGAAGCTCAGGGAAGTGGAATAACTTGCCCAAAGCAACACAGGTAGTAAGTGGCAAAGCCAGGATGCAAACTGAAGATTGATTACCTCTGAAATCCATTCCCTTTCCACTCTGCACCGCTGCCTCCCTTAATGGAAGACTTGAAACTAGACTTCTTGCCTGTTTGAGAAAGTAGAAAGGCTGGCAGTAGTGAGGACACATTTCAAGAGAGTTACATTCTGCTCTTCCCACAGTTACTTAGCTTACAGCTGCACCAAGCTGGCACACCTGGGCTCATAGAACCATGGAGCTGGCAGTGCCCTTAGCGGTCATCCGTGCAACCCCCCCATTATATCAGGAGAAAAAGCTGAGGCTTAGAGAGGGGGAGATGTTTTGGCCAAGGTAATTTATTTCAGTTTTTTTCAAATATTGTTTGACTCTCGAAACACCTTTCTCTGTTTGAGTTTGTTTGTTTTTAAATTTCCAGGCAAAACGTTTTAAACTGAACTATGCCACTTATGGGAAACAACCAGATAATAGGTAAGTACAGAGTAGCCCCAAGTAGCTTAGAGCCCCAGGAGAAATGTCTAGATAGAGCCAGGGTATCTCACTGTGCCCCCTACTACCAAAGAGGAGGGTGGGAAGTCCAGTTTGGCTCCACCTGGCCTCCCTGCTGAGGGATAACACCTTTCTGGTCCCCACTGGTGGACCTTCCCTGTGAGTCTTGTCCAGGTCATGTCTTCTCTAGCCTTCCGCCCTGTTACTGCCCACAGCACTGAGAGTTTATTCCTTAAGAACTGACCTTTGTAGCACTATAAATTGATTCAGCATTTCAGGTTACCGTTTCACATCTTTAAAACAATGTATCTAAAGCTTTAGAAAGATTTGTACTCATTGACCCCATAATTTTGCTTCTCAGAATTTATTCATACTACGGCCATGCCACCCTGAACATGCCCGATCTTGTCTGATCTTGGAAGCTAAGCAGGGTCGGGCCTTGTTAGTACTTGGATGGGAGACCATCTAGGAATACCAGGTGCTGTAAGCGTTTAAAAAAAGAATTTATTCTTGATGTGTTCCAAATTAGCCTCAAAAGCATTAACTGAAATATTATGTGTAGTAGGCAAGATTTGGGGGAAAACCAAATCTAATAATAGGGAAGTGATTTAAATTACATTATGTTCATTAATTGCAGTACTACGTATCCATTCATATAAGTCATATTGTACTAGAATACTGACATGACATGTCAAGATGCTGGCAGTGTTAAAAGTGAAAAAAATGCTAGAAACAAAACAAATGAATCATATTCAATTTTTGTAAATTCAGAAGAAGAAGCCAAAGAATAAAGAAGTGTCTGTCAAGTGTTCATAGTGATTACCTTTGAGTGGTTGGGTTATTGGTAATTTTATTTTTCTTTGTCCTTTTGTATATTCTGATTTTATACAAGAAATATGTATTATACTTGAAATAAGAAAATAATAATGAGTTTACTTGTTCTTTTTTCTTTTTTTTTTTTTAAGAATTGTTTTGGAACGGGTTAGCAAACTGTGGCCTGCTTTGTATCACCTGTGAACTAAAAATGGTTTTTACATTTTTGGAGGATTGTGAAAACAGACAAAAAGTGACAGACCATAGGTACCCCACAAAACCTAAAATATTTACTGTCCGGCCCTTTACAGAAAAAGTTGGCTGACTCATAACATTTGGGAGATTTCATTTTAGCTAGTCTTTAGGTCTTTAGAAGATGAGGTCTAGTTCTCAGTCTCTCTCTGTCTTTTGCCATTTAATCTGCCCAGAATGCAGAATTTCTAGTTTTATATTTGAGCACCTCTGACCCTGTTCCACTATCTGCACTCATGTAATACTTGAAGCCAGACAAGCTCTGTTCAGTGGATGAAGGACTTGGGTGGACCAGGGGACCACTTCTATACCTATTCTGCCAGGACTGCCAAATGAAGCAATTTAAGACCTGTTTAATGACTTATCAGATATATTGTTCCCTAAAAAAGCCCAGGAGAGGTCTACCTAGAATGAGCCAACCAAAAGAATTTCTCAGAACAAAGGTTTTCGTCTTTGTCTCTGAATCTTGTTCTCTTCTCTTAGCCCTGAGTACTCCCTCTTTGTGGGGGACCTGACCCCAGATGTGGACGATGGCATGCTATATGAATTCTTCGTCAAAGTCTACCCCTCCTGTCGGGGAGGCAAGGTGGTTTTGGACCAGACAGGCGTGTCTAAGTAAGGCCTTACCTGTTATTGATGCCTACCCTGTTAGTTTCAGCATTTTTCTTATAAGTGGAGGTGTTACAGAGAGGCCATGTAGTGTTGTGGTTAAGAGCACAGGCCGTGAAGCCAAACTGCCTGGTTTGAATCCTGGCTCCAGTACTGCCAGGGATGATGCAGCAGACAAGTTACTGAACCTCTTACCCTATTTCCTCATCTGGAAAACAGGACCGATTGATTAATAGGATCTGTTCATAGGAGCGAATTCAAGATTAAATGATGTAATATAAATAAAACATTAGGAAATGCTTTATAGGTGTTTATTATTACTTATTATTGTTACTTCAAAAGTGGAAAAACTTCAAGAAAGGCTTATTCTTGATCAGAGTTGTAGTTAAAAGCTCAGGTTTTGGGAGTATGACAGACCTAGATTTGAATCTTACTTCTACTATGACTTTCGGCAAGTTATTAAATCTCTCTGAACTTTGATTCCCTCTTCCTCAAATTGTTGAACCGTTCACTGAGATAACCCTGGAAAAATGTTCAGCACAGTGCCTGGGAAATAAGAAGTGCTCGTTAAATATTAGCTATCATTCATTTATTCTCTCAAGTAGAATTTGAATTCGGGAGATTAGGAACCTTGTCTGTGTATGACTACTGAGTTCCCATGCCTAGTGCAATACTTGGCATCCAGGGCAGACTCGGTAAATATTTGCTGAATGAATTTTTACAATTTTACATATTGCAATTACCCTAATGATAATGATAATAGCACTTTCAAGTACATTGAGGGGGAAGCTATTGTTTGGGCAGGAGCCCTTCAGTGACTGTATAGAGAGAATGGTGGTGATCTGGAAGTGGGGGTTCCAACAGATCTCGGGATCCCCCAGTGCTTGATTCTCACATTGCTGTACGGCACGCCTCCGCAGATGGGGCTCTCATCCCTGTCCACATAGTGTGATGAGATTTTTCTCTCCTTTCTCAGCCCCTTTGCCATTCTTAGACTTTACCTTCATTCCGTTTGTGATCTATATAGTTTGTGTTTTTTTCCCTGCAGAGGCTATGGTTTTGTGAAATTCACAGATGAACTGGAACAGAAGCGAGCCCTGACAGAGTGCCAGGGAGCAGTAGGACTGGGGTCTAAACCAGTGCGGCTGAGCGTGGCAATTCCTAAAGCGTGAGTCCTGTGCTTGCGGGGAAGGTAGCCGGCCTGTGGACCGACCCCTACCTAGATACTCCTCACCTGCTCTTTGACAGTCAGCATCCTGTGCTGGATGGGAGGCTGCAGGGAGTTGACTTCAGCTCACGAATAAGGAATGCCTGATACTTGCCAGGCTGTGTGCTGGGTGTTGGAGATAAACGAGCACAACCCTGCCCCTCCAGAAGCTTATAGTAGGGAGAGAGCTGTGATTAGGGGAGGCAGATACATTCAGACATTGCTGATAGCAGTGCTAAAAAAGCAGTTTAGCTACACATACTTAATGTCCCTGCTCTTTGCCCAGTAGTGCCACTGTTAGAAATTTAGCCAGAGAATTAATAAGAATTATGCAGAAGGGAAAAAATTATACTCAATTTTAGCCTTATTTATATCAATGAAACCTACAGACCTGTGGATGTCCCTTGCTATGGGAATGGCTAAGAATTATCGAACCAAACACTCTTTTATGTGCATCACTATTGTACCTGCATGCAAGGCAGAAGACAACTCCAAGCAGGTTTCTCACTCAGATGTAAGGCAACTTCTCTGCATAGAATCGTTCATACTTTGGCCAAAGCAGTGGTTCTCATCGGGGGGCGATTTTATCTCCTAGCGACATTGCAACATCTGGAGACAGTTTTGGTTGTCACAACTCAAGGGGAAGGCGCAACTGGCATCTAATGAATAGAGGCCAGAGATGCTCCTTACATCTGACAATGCACAGGACAGCCCCACAACAAAGACTTATCTTCTTGCCTCCCTCCTCCAGAAGTCAGTAATGTCCAGACTGAGAAACTGTGCTCAAAATATAAGACTGGCTGCATTCTGAGGGTAGAATTTCCATGTGGCCATGTTTTTTAAAGTAGCAAAAGATTTGGAGGTTCTTTGCAGTTTAACTGTTTTTAAAACATAGAAGATCAGCCTAAGTGTCTTCCTCCCTGAAATGTTATTTGTTCTAAACCACACACACACACACACTAAGGAAACTGTTCAAAAGAAAGAAATTTCCTCATTATCCTAAAATGACTGATTATAATTTCTGAGTTCATTTCCAGGCTTCACAGACATTACTTGGATGGGAGACCGACACACACACACACACACGCGCGCACACACACACTCTACATATGGGTCTATTTACATGTAGTAGATTTATTTCTATATTAATTTTTAATTACAATAACAAAGCTGGGTCCCCCCCCCCGTTTAGTTAGCATATACACTTTTCTATATAATTCCACAATTATCATTATAATATTTGTATAGCTTCAGGGTATTCTTTTGATTGTATATTCTGTATAGCGGTTCCTCTGATGTTGACTATTTGGTTGTTTCTGATGTGTTACCATTTATTCGGTCAACAATAACAATTCCTACAACTCAGTAGGCCCTATCCTAGACAAGAGAAGCAAAGACCCTTCTGCAGGGAGGTTATATTCTATCTAGTTCTTCCCTGGATGATGATGTCGGTATTTGGTGCCTGCCTCTGGGGAAGTGCCCTCAAGCACTAAGAATTGAGGATGATAAGAGTTCTTTTTGAGAATTAGACCGTAAGAGCCAAGTGTGGAGAAACAGAACAGGAATATACAGAGTAAGGCCAGGAAGACTACACCTTCCGTTACCTGAACATGGCAAGAGGGTGGTGGACATCCTTGGGAACATCCATGGGAGGGGAGTCATGGAGGCAAAACTTTGTCAGTTTTCAGCCTGGCCGTGGGCAGGAGAGGGAGTGTCTGCCATAGGATTTCATTGAGCCACCCCGTCGAGAGGCGATCAGATGTGTAGTCTGTCTAACTGGCTAAGTCCTCCTCACCAAACAGTCATTGAACTTGCAAGGAAGTTGGGAAGAGCTCATTCCAACTTTGAGATCCTGTGGTTCCTGTGACAGGGATTTCTGTGGTAGTTTACCGCCTGCTTATGACTTGGTTTCCTCTCTGGCTTCACTGTCGGGATAGAATACACCAATCGTGAAGTCGTAGTGTGTCCCACACTGCGTGACAGTTAATCTTATAAACCAGCTGACACAGTGGAGTCAGTCTCTGCCTCGTGCGTGTGTTTGATGTTCACTTATGAGAGACTCTGGCGCTTAGTACGATGACTCTGGGAGAGCATTGTCATGACTTGAGCTTGGGTTATGTTTGTTTGATTTCCTCTCAGCTAGAACTGCTGGTCACACCCCCAGGCCTGTTTTATAAACCTACTCACATAGCTTTGGAAGCAAGATATCTTTTGCAGACTTGACATTCTGTCTTTGGTTAGCAGCAGCTGGGGCAGCTGTGCATTCAAGGTAATAAAAGTTTTCCGCTGCCTGTGGGTCAGCCCTGATTGGCAGATGCAGGATGTAGGAGACTGGCAAGATGTCCTGAGTTTGTCAGGCCAGATGTTGTATGTAGTGGTGTGGTGTTAAGACTATGAGACTTGGCATTACATTTGGCTCCAATCCTGGGTGTGGCCTTGGGTAAATCACTTAACCTTTTAGAGACTCAATATTTTCATTTATATAGTGGGAGTAATAAATAATAGGTCTAGCATAGGATAATGCAAGACTTAAAATAGGAGACCGTATATGAAAAGTAATTGGCAGAACTTCTGAGTACCTACTCCATAAATGATAACTATGACTACTGTGATGACAGTAAAGGCTACTTTACTGCACTTCTCTTATTTTTTTTGTGGGGAAGAGGTGATAAGATATTTTGTAGCTCAAAATGCTTCTTGGATCATCCTAAATCCAGATTCTTTAGGCCATGTTTTCCTGAGCCTTTGTGGCTGACAGAAAAGCAGCCCCCAGGATCTTGAGAAGAAGAAAAGTCAGTACTGAAGGTTTGGTAAGAGAGACAAACCTAACCTTTGAAAGCTCTTGTCTTTAAAGCATAGGCTCTGGAGCAAGACTGCCTGGGTTTGAATAATTTATTAGCTGTGTGACTTTGGACAAATTATGTAACTTCTCCGTACCTCAGTTTTCTCATCTGTAAAATAGGGATAATGTATAATTATTGTACAGGATTGTTATAAGGCGTAAATGAAGTTAATGTATGTAAAGCACTTAGAAGAGTCCCTGCCTGGCCAGTTAATAAGTGTTATGGAAATGTTTGTTCACATTTGTTTATTTTTGGTTCTTTCTTCATTTAAGGAGTCGTGTGAAGCCAGTGGAATATAGTCAGATGTACAGTTACAGCTACAACCAGTATTATCAGCAGTACCAGAACTACTATGCCCAGTGGGGCTATGACCAGAACACAGGCAGCTACAGCTACAGTTATCCCCAGTATGGCTATACCCAGAGCACCATGCAGGTAACTGTGCTTTCACTAGTCTGCTCTTATGGGTTATGTTGTCCTTCAGAGACATGGCTCCTTCTCAGGGATGGGATCATTAAGGATGAGAGCTTGGGCTTCAGAAAAAAAATATGGGGAAAGATGAAGCAACCTAGTTCCTCTTGTTAAAAATAAGCCATCCTGTTCATGGGTCAGGATTTCACCATCCTTCTCACCCACCTCTCTGGTCTCTTGACAGACATATGAAGAAGTTGGAGATGATGCTTTGGAAGGTAAGAAAGGAGTCCATCACTGTCAGCCACTAGGCAGCGATTGCTTTGTGACTGGCACTGTGCCTTCAGCTAGATGCTGATGGAATGCAAGGTGAATTCTGCCTGGAGGAACTTACATTCTAATGAGAGAGCCATTGCCTACAAAATTACTGTAAGAAGTGTATGTGTCACCCAGTGGTGTGAGTGCAGATCCCAGAGAGCCCAGGGGAAAGCAACTCTATAGGGGAGGGAGCCGGTCACCCCCTGGATGAGTGGCATTCTACCCTAGGATGTAGGTCTTTAGCAAAAAATATTATTGCCTTACATTTGTTTGACAGCTTGTAAAAATCATTTTGTGTTTCATGATTTAATTTTTCTCTATATAAAATTGCATGTTTCTCTCATTTTCAAATAATAGTTATGATTGAAATTTCGGAAAATACAGGATTATGAAGTAACTGAAAACCACCCCTAATCCTGCTGCATAGTAACAGCCATTATTAATTTTTTTTATTAAAAGCATTTATTGTCATTTTTATTGACACTAACAGAAGAAAATAGAAAGTAAAACTGAAGGAATTACTAACCATCAAACAAATAATTTTTTAAATATGTTATTAATACTTAAAGAATCCTCTGAGGTTTGAAAAATTATGAAAAACAAATTTTTTCAACATATTTCTGAACAGATGTTTTGTTTTCAAGATGTAAAATTTAAACAGTTGTCATAAAATCAGGATTGATTTCTAAGTAAACCTTTTTAAGGTACAAAAAGACTCAAAGATTAAAATCAAAGTCTATTTTAAGGATTATTCTTCAGGGCATGGTCATAGGGAAAAGGCGATTTGTAACCAAAATATCCTTTAAAAGAAACATCACCTTCAGGCAAAGAACTTTACTTTACCTACTTCATAGCATTTTAAAGCTCTTTCATATATGTGCTCTCATCTAGTTCTAACAGCAGTGACCTTGGGGAGTGGGCTGAGCAGAACACAGGCTCTCCAGTTAGTTGGCAAATGGGGAACTGGTGGCCCAAGTGGGTCTACTCAGGGTCACAGAGTGAGTTAGGGGCAAAGTCAGGCCTAGAATCCCTGTCTTTCCATTCTCAGTCTCCGATTCTTCGATCCAGGAAATACTGCCTTGCTTTTCAAGATAATAAACCTGATTATAAAAATATCTGTGTATAACTCCATAGAATTTTCCATCTCATTCTCATTCACTAGTAATAAAATAATAGCCAACATATTTTGTGCTAAGCACTGCTACCTGTCTACACTGTAATGGCTTGGGTACCATTATCATACCCCTTCTACAGAAAACAGCCCAAGTTAAAAATAGCTAACGGTTGGGTTTTATTATGTGCAGACACTGTTCTAAGCACTTTACATATATTATTAACTCATTTAACAACAGTTTTGAAGTCAGTACCACAATTATACTGATTTCATTGAATAGAAAACTGAAGTAGAGAAGTTAAATTACTTGTTTAAGGTCAATATAGTTGCAAGTTGCAACTTAGTAGCAAGAGGTGGAGTTGGTCTTAGAACCCCTGTAGTCTTGCCCCAGACTTCATACTTTTTTACCACTAAGCTTAATGCCTCCCATTTTAACTGAGTAACCGCACAGTGAGGTGGGCACAGCGGTGATTATTAACCTTGTTAGTTTAGTCCTTGGCTGCAGTAGGCCATCTTCCAGGCTGTCTTCAGAATGAGGAAGGGTGCTTCTGTGTGTGTGCATAGACTTATTAACCCATGCAAAACCTGCCCTTAATCAAGCCCTTTACTAATCTATTCCCATAGCTGTTACACCGAGTGAAGGAGTCAGGCTGGTCCTACTTTCTGTTTAGTCTCCATATGGAGCTTCTGAATGCTCAAAGCTTCTATAATTTAGATTAAAATTACAAGAGAAAGAAAGGTCCTTCTGCCTGTAGGAATGGGCATAGTACTTATGACACTGAGTAGTTTGGGAATGGAGATACACTTAACAGGTGAGAGAATGGTGCCTGCCCCTTCCAGCCCTCGCCCTGGAGCCACACACCTCAGTCTTTCCTGGTGTGTCTCTGGCACCTCCTGAGTTGCAGTCCCTCCTCCGGAGCACAGGTATTATGAATTCCTTTTTTATCGTTCTCTTATCCGAAATAGGGGCTATGATTAAGGACTCTGTAGAAATATTATTAGATACAATCACATGAATTCTTCCAAAGATGCCCAAGGGGAGTTTAGTGGAAGCTTTTTCATGGGTACGTAATTCACACCTCCAAGGAGTGGAATGTTTCTGTCAGTTTTCCTGGATCAAGGAACACAAGTTTTGATTATGACATTTATTACTTTATTTCTGGCCTCCTTGGGTTTTTTTCCAAATGAGATGCTTTAATGATCTGTGCCATTGTGTTATGTGTCCTTTTGGGAAACCCTGCTGGATATGTCTGCTAAAACATATAAGACATCTAAAGGTGTGAAATGGAAGACAGATTTTTGGCTGACAGCACCATTCTGTCCTGGTATCATCTTTGCTGACCTCTTTATTATGAATCTAATTCCTTGGGTGGAGGAGTCATCGGTGCCGTCTCTTTCAGTACTCTGACAGAAATCTTTGCAATGTGGTTTGGAATTTCAGTACCCCTGACAGTTTTTGGCACATACTTTGGAAGCAAGAAGTTTAGATGTCCAGTTCACGCAAACCAGATTCTCTGTCAGATTTCTCAACAGACTTTCTTTACAAAACCACTTCTTGGAATCATAACTAGCAGCATTTTATCTTTTGGTTATATTTTTATTTAACTTTTTTATTCTAAACAGTATATGTTCTCATCAGATGTACTTAATGTTTGGCTTTTTCTTAGTCTTCATGATTCTCCTGATTACCTGTTCAGAAGCTACAGTTGCACTGTGTTATTTTCATTTATGTGCTGAGGATTATCATTGGTGGTTGAAAGCCTTTTTTACTAGCAGTTTTATAGCTGTTTATCTTTTTATGTATGCAGTTCATTACTTCTTTCTACCAACTTCAAATCACAGGCATTGCAAGCACCATTTTGTACTTCGGGTACATGGTGATCATGGTCTTTTCTTTTTTACAGGCACAGTTGGGTTTCTTTTTTTCCTGCTTCTGGTTTGTGACTAAAATCTAGTATGTTGAAAGTGGATTAAAGAATGTCTCCCCAGTGGCTTTCAGGCACATCACTCTTGCTTTTGAATATCTGTATCTGTATGAACATCTGAACAGATATGTATGTATGCGTCCAATTACATGTTTTAAGTGTATATCAATTGAAAAAAAAAAAAGGTGAGAAAACTGGAAATAACTTGAAAAAGAAACACAAACACAAATCAACTATAGGAAAAGTTTAAATGTACTATTTATATCAGTCATGGTTCTCCAGAGAAACAGCCAATAGGACATATGTATATATAACTGTAAAGCAGTCCAGCAAGCTTAAACTCAGGCAGGATTTCTTGTAAACACTTGCAGAATTCCTTCTTTGGGAAACCTCAGTTTAAGGCCTTAAGGCTGTCAATTGATTGGATAAGACCCACCCACACTATTGAGGATGATCTCCTTTATTTAAAGTCATCATGGCAGATGTTAATCACATCTACAAAATACCTTCACAGCAACATCTAGACTAGTGTTTAACCAAACAACTGGGCACCATAGCCTAGCCAAGTTCACAACTAAAATTTAACCATCGCACTAATAAATACAAATTTATAAAAAGTTCTTACAATGTTTATAACCTTTGAATCAGTAATTTTACTTGAAAGATTTTATTCCCAATGATGATAATCAGTACAGATAAAATATTCAGTAGAAGATGTTAAACAATAATAGTAGTCTTTTTTATGTATAATTGACATACATTATATAACATTAGTGTTGTATTTGTATAATGTATTTTAGATGTACATGGTTCAATTTGCAAAATGACCACAATAATTCTAGTTAACATAGTCACTATACAGTTACAGTTGGCCTAGCACCATTTATTGAAGATTATTCTTTACCCATTGAATTGTCTTGGTATCCTTGTCGAAAAGTTTACTATAAATGTATGGATTTGGTTTTGGACTCTTAATTCTATTCCATTGATTGATGTCTATTCTTAGGCCACTGCCAGTCTTTATTACTGTAGCTTTGCAATACGTTTTGAAATGGGGAAGTGTGAGTCCTTGAACTTTGATTTGGCTGCTCCAGGTCCCTTAACATTTTCATATAAATTTTATGATCACCTTGTTATTTTCTGCCAAAACATAAATAAAAAGGCAGCTGTAATTTTGATAGATAGCATTGAATCTAGGGAATTTTGCCATCTTAACAAAATTGTTTTCCAATCCAAGTATGTGGGATGTCTTTGTTTAGGTCTCTTTAATTTTCCAGTTTTAAAATGTGTTTTAATGAACTAGTGTGTTTGTGTATATGCATTTCAACACACGCATTTTGTGAGATCCATCCAAGTTGTGTGCAGCCAAGGTTCATTTTTCAATGCTATGTGATATTCTTTTAAGAATGATGATTTTCCAAACCCAAAATTGAAATAAGAACCACACCAGAAAATCCAGGGCATGTGATGGCTAGATATAGGTGTAGCTTTTAATAGAATTGGAACAGCCACCATTATTTGAGTACTAACTATATGTTCCACTACCTACGTACATCATCCTATTTTCATCCTCACAGGAAACCTGCAAGGCAGTTATAATCAGCCCGTGAATGCGGAACTGACAGGGAACCTGCCCTAGGAAACAGGAAATCTGGAGAGCAGGGCACTGAACCGAAGTCTCTTGTGGCTTCTGAGTACTTCTCTCCTTGATGCTTCCTAAAGCATCCTTGCTTCTCTTCCAGACCCCATGCCGCAACTGGATGTGACTGAGGCCAACAAGGAGTTCATGGAGCAGAGTGAGGAACTATACGATGCACTGATGGACTGTCACTGGCAGCCCTTGGACACAGTGTCTTCAGAGATACCTGCCATGATGTAGCCAGGATAAAAGAAGCCAGAATGGACTATGTGAAGGAGATAAGAGACTCTGTTAAAAAATTCAAGAACTTTTACCTTTTTGGAAATGTTTTGTAAGATTTTAAGAATCAAGTTTCCTGAGATTATGACTATTACTGCAACACTTCTGCCTTCATTTGATAGAGTAAGCTGTTTGAGTTTGAAAACCTGGAGACCAGCTGTTGAAGGTTAGATAAGGCTCCGATGTTTTTGAAAAATAATCATTTAGCCAGGTAGTTAATCCAGTTTGGAATTATTAACCAGGTTAAGTGGAATTACTAATCATACGAATCAGTAAAGCCAGGGACTCTTCTCAGGTGATAAATCCTTAAGGTTCTCTGGAATCAGAATGCAAGAATTAACTGCTGTCATCCAGTGGGCAATTTCATCTGCTATTCAGGTTCTCCCTCCCGCTCCAACATTTGCTTCCAGTTTGGTCACTAGTAAAGACTATCCCAGTTGAGAAAGTTGAATAGCCCAGTGTGTAGTAGGAAGGGATGGGAGTCAGCTATAATACGTTGAAGACCTCCTACATATCACTTGATACTTTCCAAATCAAGAAATCCCACTTCCCAACGTAGTCATCTCCAGGACCCAGGACCCTCCTGAAGTCTGGGTCTATGCTGGAAATCTGCATCTGATTTCTTAGTTTTGTGCCAGAGGAATTTGGGGGGTGGTTGAGGTAAGTAAGGTACAGCTAAGTCAAAGCACCTATGCCATAAAAAGCCTTCAAAGATCTTTTAAGGAAGCACTCATCTTAGGAGAAATGTATCTAATTGCAGTTATGACCTATATTCTAAAAGATCAGCTTTTTTAATGAAATTGAGACTATAATACAGTTGGGTCTATGGATAGGGGGAAAACAATGTGAAAGGACATCAAGAAAATGACACCTAATTTTTTTTTTGGTCACTTATCTGCCAGGTACCACCAGCATGAGCAAAAAAAAAAATCATTGTTTCTACCTATTATCACCAATTTGGGAAAGTTTCTTGTAGCTGAGATTGAAGAAAGAAACTGACAACTCCAGCATTATATCAAGTTTTATTAAGGGAATTTAGCACAACAGAAGCCTCCACTGCCACAGGGCAACATGTATAGGAGACCAGCCCCAAATACCAAGAAAATGTCTTGCATGCTTGCTTCCGGCCTGTTTCAAGAACCAGCAGGCCCTAGGGCAGGGAGGATGAGTCAGGGGATTTCTTGTTACTTAGTTGCTCTTGGAATAGTCTCTCCTCCAAACCTGTTGTCTTTTAGCTTGCCTCGTCCCACACAGCTTCTCTCCTGGAAAGTATAAGCAAGGGTGTTAATATTGCCCCAATTAATCAATGCCACTCGCAGGTATTTTTCTAAGAGCTGGTCTCAGTCCCATATCCGCATTTATCATCCATAGATGTCCACTCAGATTAGGTTTCATCCTGGACCAGTCACCCTAAAAAAATACCTTGAGCTAGATGAAACTACATGTTGATACCCAATCCATCTATTCTCCCTGGGGAGGGGTAAGATTTCATTGGTTTGGTTTGAGTTTACCCCAAACAACTGAACCACTATACAGTATATTCACAGCAATCTGCCCAGGCTGCCCAACATGCAGGGCTGTCCCCTCTGCTGCATTCTACTCACAGAACCTGCTCTGGGACTTAAAGGTGGACAAATCTAACTGGCCAAATCATTCCATAAACATTTCTGTTCTCTGGCCATCAACAGTTAACATATAGCACACAAGACAAGTGTAAATAATGTATTAAAAAGCTGAGATCTTTACATAGACCTGAGTAGCCTTATATCTATTTGCTACACTTCTTAGGGTGCACAACAGTTAAGTGCTACCTGAAGCTCCAAGGAAGTTGTGATACAGCTTCAACATATCCAACAATGTAGATCCAACACTAGAGGAAGACTGCTTACTGGTAACAGATCTAAAAAAAGGAGGACACTATCAATCAAGAGGCAAGAAAGCCATGGGTAAATCCCTCCCAAATACAGAAGTATTAGCCAGCAATCACTACACAAAATGCCCAGAGCTTCACATACATCCTCCGTAAAATTATCCAATTTTACCAGGGTGGAGGAAACAGGTTCAGAGACTTCAACTCTGTGTGAAACGAGCCCACGTGCTATATATACGGCAGACTATAAACACTGTGAGGCCAACTTCAGTATTACTTTTCCTCCTTTTACGACCACCAAGACCGGTGTTCAGATCTGATGGGAAAGGGAACTGGAGGGTCAGGATGTACATCATCTAACTTTACCTTACTCTAAAGCAGAAGGAGAGCCACAATCTGGTTATCTTCAGGTTCTTCAGTATCAGACAACTGCCAGGAAATTTGGGGTCAACCTGCAGAAAAAGTGGGAAAGGTCTAAACCAAAAAGTTGATCCAATACACCCCTATCTACGTGGATGTTAATGGAAACACCTGTATGCAGGTGGAAGGCTTCCAGCCCAGATCCTGACAGGTTATAGGAAAGGCGAGTGGCAGCTACAGGTATTACGCTGACCTGAGCTGTCAAAGTCTCTCCAGGTTGCTCTAGCATGCAGTTGGAGATCCCATGGCTACAACCAGCCACGGCCCTTGGGAACATGCTGTAATGCCCAACCAAGTAGCTGCCAATTACTCTCAAGAAACCTACCAGGTTCTGAGGTGGTTGTGTTCCAGCACGTCCTGACCCGAGTCCTCACCGACCAGAAAGCAACTTGTCATCCTGCAATCTTCATCAGGCACAGCTAAGATGAGAACACAATTGTCCTGAGTGATCTTTTTGTACCTTCGTTTGGTCTTCAAAATCATAAAGGCTTGACTGGCCTTTTAGTCCTGGTACTGACGCCTTAAGTTTTTGAGGGCCTAAAGCACTGACAAGATCTGTGCCAGTGCCACTGGATTTTCCCAGTACACATGTGTTTAGCTCACTCCCATATGGCCTCCATACTGTCTTGGCCTCAACAAGCTACTTCTCAAGAGTCTTATTCTGTTGACTGTATACAAAGGCCCCCGCCAACTTAAAGTTTCTGCTGGCCTCTGGGAACGCGTCCATCTTAACACAGGTGTCCGTTTAAACCTGAGAAATGGCAGGTACGATAGGAATTGTCTTTTCCCGAAATGTTGCAGATCAGTTACAGCAAACAGAACGGCGACCGTCAAGGAAAACTTACTATGGGCTCCTTTTTGACCACAGCAGCTATGTGGAAGCAGCTGCAGCTTCGATAAGGGCCACAAGGCAATTTAGGTCACATCCCCAGGGCAGCCCCAAGTGCTACTAGACTCTCAGACTTATCTAAATCCTGTGCAACCTTACTGCCTACTAAAATTCATCTACTAGGCCATTCTGGAGACCAAGAGAACACAAATATCCTATAGGTCCCAATTACCACTTTATTTTACAATGTGCCAGTGTTTTGTCTCAAGGACCATTTTACCATACCCATTTTACAGATATGGGCTTGAACCAATTACGTTTCCTTGCTGAAGGTCGCCAGTCAATTTAGAAAGTGACAGGACCAGGATTCAAAATAGGACAGGAATTACTCCAGAAAACCTTGTCCTCAAATGCACCAGGGTGACCTCCTTAATAGGTGTTGTGCAGCCGGATAATTTAGGTTAAGTCACTTACCCAAATTACCCAGCAAGTAGCGGTCACAGGCAGATCCAGTTCAAAGTCTGGCTGACACCACCACGCGGCCTCTTCAAAATTAAGCCATTTCAGGCCCAGGACTGGTGTGCACCGGGCAGCTGCCCGCGTTACTCACCGTCACACCAGAGCGCAGGGCTGTGCGGGCCAAGGCGGGAGAAGGGCGCGGCTCTCATGGGCTCCGTCCACTCTCCCTGCAAATGCAAGCCGACACGCCATTTCGGACCGCGACCCCAGCAGGCCAGGAGGCCCGGCTCCTCTGTGCAGTACTCAACATCTCGCAGCTTTGGGAGGCAGCCCCGGCGAGTGCGGGACAGGTGGCGGCTAGGCTGAGGGCGGTGGGTCTGGTAGAGGATGGGCTTAGATGGCAACAGGCCGGCTTCCCCGCAGGAGGACACACCAAGAACGCGGCGACCGGGAGAAAGGGCGTGGGGACGCCGGGCGGGTGTTTATATAGGCCCTGCCTCTCGCGGCCGCGCCTGACAGTTGGAGCAGCGCGCGGCGCAGACCGCTGGGAGTTGTAGTCCATTTTCTCTCCTGCGTTGGGTGGAGCGTCCGGCTTCCAGCTCCACGTACGTGCGTGCGGGGAGGGAACCTTTCCACAGGGAATAGAGGAACCAAGTAAACGGTTTTTTCAAGGTCCTAAAAGGCTCTTTCGCCTCCGTTCAGCACTCACTGGACGACCTGTACAGGGCACTGGGCCTACAAATGACTCAGACTCGCCGTGCCCCCTGGAGTTCAGTCTGGGAAGATTTTCAAAGCTGGGAATGGACTCATCCCAGATCGCCGTGGGCCTGAAGAGGGGCAGCGGCTGAGTGTTTCGGGGAGGGGCTCTCTGTCTTCTTGGAGAGGAGTCTTGGGAGGGCATCTTAGGAAGAGGCGATTGATGACTGGTGAGATGAATGCATTATTTATTCAAGGCTCGTCTTTTCTACTAATAGATAAATACCTTTTCTGGGTCCTTAATAAACTATGCGCGATTATTTCAGCTACTTTTCATAATAACCCTATGTATAGGTATTATAATTATGTCCTTACAAATAAGGAAACTGAGGAATGGATCACACAGCTAGCTAGCGAGGTAAAAACTAAAATCCAGGAGTCCACGCCAGAGACCACACTCATAATCACTATGTGCATGCACATGTGCATGTTTTGTCCATCGAATGAATAAGTTTCAATATACAAATAGTAGTTGTCAAGAATTAAGCACCATTCTGTGTTTAATCTATTCATTAATTTATACCTTTATGTACACTTTAGGAAGTAGGCACTACAATTTTTCTCATTTTCTGGAGAAGGCAACAGACTAAGAAGGTAAGAAACTTTCTGATAACTTCCAAATGTGTGTCTCCAGCCCTACTTTTCTCCTGCGCTCCAGACCTTATATAATGCTGCTTCTAGACACTTGGATATCTAATAAATAGGCTTCTCAGAACACAGCCTTTCTTCCTGCTAACCTGCTCTTCCCCTTCTCAGTATGTCCTTTGAGTGATCCTGAACTCTTCTCTTTTTCTAACATCTCGTGTCCAATCGTTCAGCAAATCCCGTGTTCACCTTTAAGATGTCTCAGGAATCACTGTTTCTTACCACCTTCACTGATGCTATCATTATCGCCTGCCCACAAGACAGCAGCAGTCTCCTAACTAGTCTCCCTGATTCTAGTCTCGTTGCGCCCCACACTCTGGGCTCAACACACCAGCCAGGGTGTTAAAAGAACAAAAGTTTTTCATTTTGATGAATCCAATATATTTTTTTCTTTTGTAGTTTATGCTTTTTTGTATACTAGTTTTAAAATCTTTGCCTAACTCATGGACGTTAAGATTTTCTTCTGTTTTCGTCTAGAAGTTTAATAGTTTTAGCTCTTATATTTGGATCTGTGATTCATTTTGAGTTAATTTTTGTGCATAGTGTGAGATAGGAGTCAAGGTTTATTTATTTATTGCATATGGCATCCAATTGTCCCACATTCGTTTGTTGAAAAAGTTGTCTTTTTCCATCTAATTGCTTTGGCACATTTGTTAAAAATAAATTGACCAGATGTGTAGATATGTTTCTGTACTCAATACTACACTGTGTTTATTACTATAGCTTTTTAATAAGTCTTGATATAGGGTAGTATGTCATCCAACTATTTTTTCTTTTTCCCAAAATTGTTTTAGCTATTTCAAGCCCTTTGCGTTTCCATATAAATTGTAGTATCAGCTTATTTGTAGTTTTTTTTAAAAAGCCTATTGGGTGTATAGCCATGCTACCCTGAACAAGCCCAATCCCATCTGATCTCGGAAGCTAAGCAGGGTCAGGCCTGGTTAGTTACTTGGATGGGAGACCACCTAGGAAGACCAGGTGCTGTAGGCATAAAAAATAAAAAATAAGAGATTGTAAACTGACAAGTTCACAGATTGCTGTCTGTGAGGTCAACCAAGGGTCGCCTCGCTTAAAAAAAGCCTACTAGTATTTGGTTGGTATTGCATTGACTCTATAGATTAATTTGGGAAGAATCGACCTCTTAATATTGAGTCTCCTAATCCATGAGGATGGTATATCTTTCCTTTTTTTTTTTTAGATCATCTTTAATTTTTCTCAACAATGTTTTGTAATTTTTAGTATACAGGTCTTGTATCTTGTATATCTTTGGTCAAATTCATCCCTAAATGTTTCATATTTTTGATGCTATTGTAAATGGTATTATTATTGTCAATTTCAAATTCCAAATGGTCATTGCTAGTATACAGATATAGAATTAAATTTTGCATGTGTATCATGCAACCTTGTTAAAATCACTTATTAATTTTAATAGCTTTTTTGGAAGTTTCTTAGGATTTTTCACATCTGTGAATAAAGATAGGTTTACTTTTTCCTTCTCAATCTGGATGCCTTTTATTTCTTTTTCTTGTTTTATAGCACTGGCTAGGATCTATTGATGTTGAATTATTAGTTACATTTTATAAAAATTAAACATTTGATCTTCAAATAACATTATTAAGAAAATAAAAAGCAAGAGACAAACTGGGAGGAAATAGTTGCAAAACATTCAACAAAGGACTTGTATCTAGAACAAAAAGAATTTCTAAAACTCAGCAGTAAAAAGAAAAACTCACTTATTAAAAAAAATGGCCATAAAAAAGGCCACAAAATTTGAAAGGCACCTCACTAAAGGAGATAAACAGATGGCAAATAAACACATGAATGACACTCAACACCATCAGTCATTAGCGAAATGCAAATTAAAACTACAATGAGATAACACCACAAATCCAATGGAATGGAAAGTAGCTAATATCAAATGTTGATAAGAAAGTAGAGCAAATAGAACTCTCATACAGTGTCCAGGAGTATAAAATGGTACAACTACTTTGGAAAATAGGCAGTTTCTAAAAAAGTAAAATATACACCTACCATATAACCCACCCATTGCCCTACTAGGTATTTCCCAAGAGATATGAAAGCTTACATCTACACAAAGACTTGAACATGAATGTTCACAGCAGTTTTATTTGTAATGCTTAAGACTGGAAACAATCCAGATGTCCTTCAACAGGAGACGACTAATGGTAGTATATCCATACAGTGGAATACTACTCAATTATAAAAAGGAACATGCTTTATATGTGCATCAAAATTAATGAAATCTCAATGTTATTGAGTGAAAGAAGCCAAAGAATACATATATTATGATTTCATTTGCATAAACTTCTAGAAAAAGCAAAGTAATCTCTAGTAACAAAGAAAATTAGTGGTTGCCCAGGAGAGAAAATTAGTGGGGATCAGGAGAGAAGAACTTACAAAGGACATGGGGGACCTTTTTGGGGTGAGAGATGTTCATTATCTTGATTATGGTAATGGGTACATGGGGTATACACTTATGTCATGACTCCTTATATTGTACATTTTTAATATGTGCAGTTTGTGTATCAATATACCCCGATAAAGATTATTTTTTAAAAGTAACCAAGAAAAAATTTAGATCATGTAATTTACCTGCCCCCAAATCACTGACTTCTCAACACATTTGGAATAAAAGCCAAAGTCTCCAGGATGGCCTCTGAGGCCACGGATGATTTGGCTCTTCCTCCTCTCGGCCGTCATTGCCCATCACTTGCTTCCTCCTTCATTCTGCTCCCTCTTCCCAGTCTCTCTGCTCTTTGCCTGCTTCCATGTCAGGACCTTTGCTCTTGCTGTTCTTCCTGTCTGGAACTAGCCTCCCTGCATCTTTGTGGTCAGCACATGCGGACAGTGCACTGTCAGCATTAGGTTCCTTGACAGCCACACTACTCACTCCCTACTTCTCCTGAGTTTCTGTTCAAATGTCACGTCAGACTACCATAATTTGATATAACACCCTGCCACCTCTCAAGCCATTTCCCTGCTTATTATTTATAACACTTAGTGCTCCCTGTCCTCACATTATATATGTATTTATTTCTTCTCTATTACCATGTGAGCTCCCCAAGAACAAGAATTGTGTCTTTTTATTTTCACTGCTATGTAAGTAAGTGCCCGGTACATAAGAGACAGCTAGCACTATTGAAATAATTACTATGTGAAAGAATGAATTAACGAATAAAACTTGGCCAAGGTAACATTGCTAGCAAGTGGCAGTTGGTACTAAAATCCAGATCTGTCTATTGCAAATGTGCATAGCCTTACCTGCTATGTTATGTTGACTTCCAGAACTACCCTATGAGGTGGGTGCCACTGTTTGCCTCACTTAATAGAAAGGGAAGCAGGGGTGAGAGGAGAGATGACTTGCCCCAGGTCACACAGTGAGTCTGTAGCAAGATCAGCTGACATCTGGATTCAAGGGCCAGGTGCAGGAAGAGGCAGGCACATGACCCCAGCCCACAGCAGAAGCATATCAGAGAGGAAGTTCAAAGAACCCAATGCTGACAGTGCAGTGTCCACATGTGCTTACCACAAAGACTTCTGGGAAGGCTGGGTTCAGACTGCATTTCAAGCTGTTTCCTGACTCTGCCTTTGTCCAACTGCCCTTCTTCCCTGACCTCCCCAGCTCCCAGTTGTCCTTGGAGACCCACCTTCAGCAATACCTCCTCCAAAAGATCTTTTCTGACCCTGTATCTCCCTGAGTCCTGCTCTATTGTGGTATTTGACTGATTGACTGACTGAACGAATGAATGAATAAATAGCACTTATCTACTTTCATTAATTCATTCAACCATAAATATTTACTGAGTTCCTGCTTCGTGTCAGCACTAAGGATACAACCATTGATCCCCTGCCCTCAAGGGGCTTGATCCTATGAGGGAGACAGACATCACAGTGGACAAAAGGGCACATGACTTCAGTGGCCAGTCAGTGAGGGGCTTCCTAAGACCTGAAGTAGGGATTAGTTAGTCTTCTGAAGAGCAGAAGAGGAGTGTTCTTGGCAGAGGCTGAGAAAAGATGCTCAGCATGGCTGGAGCTCAGAGCACCAGTGGTAGATAAAGAAGGAGCTGGGGGCATCTGCAGGGACCTGACATAAATATTTTCCAGCCTAATAGAGTGAGGTGGAGAGAATGTCTTGATGGAGGAACTGGTAAGGGCAGGTGAGAGTGGAGCAGACTCCCATTTTGGGCAGTACCGACAGAAGACAATCCCTTCAACACGGATCCTTCTTGAGGTGCCTTCCGGTTCCTGGATTCTCAGGCTCCTCTCTCTTCTACTCCTGGAGGTAAGAGGCGAGCACAGACTTATTCCTTCATGTTTTCCCTGAAGCGGGGCCAAGGGCCAGGATTACTTGGAGACCTGACAGTATGGCTACTCATTGATTTGTTTAGGGTTGGCCAGAAGAAAACCTGGGCCTTCCCAGATCCCCACACTGTCCAGCCAGAAACAGAAATAGCAAACAAGGTTTGAGCGCTGGGTAGACTTGGACGCTAGTCTCAGTCTTCGTTGCTGGTTACTTCTTTGAACCTCAGTTTCCTCATCTGTAAAAACGATCAAGATAACAACTCCTATTCACTCAGTTGTGCAAGGAGGAACTGTGATGATGTGATATTTACAACAGTGAGGACTCCCTACCACCCCACCAATTTGCCCAAACAAGTTAAACTGTTAAAATCCGCTTATCTGGGACCAGCCAGAAGTCCAGCCTTGATGTCCTGGGTTGCCAGAAGGCCAGACTAGAAAGGATGGAATGGATCTTGGAAGCAGATGTGCCTGCCTTCCCCTTGCTCCTTGCCCAAGTGGGACCTGACGCCATGTCCTCTTGGGACTTACTTTGCAGTCCCCTTTTGTGGTACATGGAGAGAGTAATGAAGAGTGAGACAAACCTGTTATGAGGCCCAGCTCTGCTATGGGACCCGAGACAAGCCACACATCTGAGCTTCAGTCTCCTTAGCTCTAAAATGGACACACTATGGCCCTCTCAAAGGGGTGTTGCCCACACAAGATAAGTAACTGACCATCTGGCCTCTTAAATGTTAGCTGTCCAGTCCACAGGCCAACTGCACTCTCTCTGGAATCACAGTTGTCTGTCTGTGTCTGTCTTGCCTCCTTTACCTGGCTGTGACCAGTTCTTCTCTGGGCCTTGGGGTCCAGCACAGGTAGGCTGGGAGGAAGCAGTGGGGGCTTGGTGAACATCGAATCTCAACAGTCAATGGGAGGCACAGTGGGGCTCCAGGAAAGGGACACCTGGGCAGGAACTTGGTAGCACCTCATAAACCATCAACTTTCTAGAGTGGTGTCTCCAGGTCCAGCAACAGGGGCCCAAGGGGGAACGAACAGGAGAGGGATGTGGAGAAAGAAAGTAACCCCAACGGATGGATGAATGCCGCTTTAGCACAGTACGTCTCAGGCCAATGCATGTTTGGTTATCATTCCTCCCTAGTCGTCCTTCCTACATTATCTAGTTTAATTCTCTTCATCTGAAGTAGGGGTTACTATTATCCCCATTTTACAGAGGAGAAAACTGAGGCTCAGAGAGAGTAAGTGACTTTCCTAGGTGTTTCCACCAGCAACTTCCTCGGGGATCGGTCCCCTTGTGCTGAAAACGTTCCAGGCTCTGCAGTCCTTTGTGTGTCTTTGGTTGCTCAGTGGCCGCCTGGGGCGGGGGCGGCGGGGGCGGGGAGTGGGGCGGGGCCAGCCTTCCTGGACTAGGGCTGGGGCGGGACAATGACGGCTGGGCTAGGGGAGTCCAGACGGGCCATGGAGGCAGGGGACTGCCGCTACCAGTTTCGGATCGCCCTGCTGGGGGACGCGGCTGTGGGCAAGACGTCGTTGCTGCGGCGGTACGTGGAGGGCGGGCCCGGGACGCCGGAGCCGGAGCCGGAGCCAGAGTCAGCGCCCACGGTGGGCGTCGAGTTCTACAGTCGCGCGCTGCAACTACGCGCGGGTCCGCGTGTCAAGCTGCAGCTCTGGGACACCGCGGGCCAGGAGCGCTTCAGGTGCCTGGTGGGGCAGGGTGCGGAGGGTGTGAGCTGGACCAGGAAGGGACGAAAATGTGAGGGACCTCGGGTTCTGGGATCAACACAGGTCCACAGGGCTATGGGAATCATCCTGAAGGGCCAGCCTCAATGGCCAAAGTAGAGGTGTGGGTGACCCTGCCCTGGCTGTCGGATCATCCACTCTTAAGCCATTCAACCTACAAACACAGCTGGTGGGCTAAGCCCCTGGGCCAGATGCTTGAGTCCTGGCGTCTCCCTAGGGGAACATTCAGGCCTTAGGAGTAGGGGGAAGAGACCTCTGACGTTGAAAGGGGAGGACTGAATGATGTGGATGCTGAGAGAGCCCACAGAGAGGGAGGTGTCAAGAAGATGGGAAAGGAGAGCTTTGTGTTGGCCCAGAAGAATCCGTAGGAGTTTGCCAGGCAGAGAATGGGGATGCAGACCTGCAATGGGGTAATCAGCAGGCCTCCTCCAGGAATGGAGGAATGGTCAGGAGAGTATGTGAATCAAACTTGCTCCCTGACTGGGGAGCATGCAGTCTCTTGGGAGAGACACAGACTCCAGGAAGACTGAAGCACAGGGCAGAGTGAAATGGGGATGAGGGGTGAGGCAGTCAGTGGATGGAGGGAAGGTCCTGCCCCTGGGGAGTGTTCTGAAGGCATAAGCTTCTCCCAACTTACTCCCCAACCCCATCAGGTGCATCACCAGGTCTTTTTACCGGAACGTGGTGGGTGTACTGCTGGTCTTTGATATGACAAACAGAAAGTCCTTTGAACACATCCGAGACTGGCACCAGGAAGTGATGGCTACTCAGGGCCCTGACAAGGCCATCTTTCTGCTTGTTGGCCACAAGAGTGACCTGCAGAGCACCCGTTGTGTCTCAGCCGAGGAGGCAGAGGAGCTGGCTGCTTCTCTGGGTATGGCTTTCATGGAGACCTCAGCCAAAGATAACTGCAATGTGGACCTGGCCTTTGACACGCTCGCCGGCACCATTCAGCAGGCCCTGCAGCAGGGGGATATCAAGCTGGAGGAGGGCTGGGGGGGCATTCGGCTCATCGACAAGACTCAAATCTCTAGGCCCCCCAGCAGGAAGCAGCATGCAGGCCCATGCCAGTGTTGACTGTGGGAGGGAAAGGGTTAAGCAGTGCCAACCTCAGAAATGCTGGTGGGATGGAGAGAGTGTCTCTCCGAAGAGCAAATGGCAGACTGTACCCAAAGCGTTCATATAAAGTTTCCTGGCACAGTCACGTCTCTTGGATTTTGGGGTCTTAGAGCTCAGCCCCTTTCCACCAGAAGAGTCTAGAGGCAGGTATGCAGCTTCCTGTCCTTGAGCCTGTTTCCTCATAAAGACCTTACCTGGGGCAGGAAGGATAGGGGTACATGAATGAGATAATAGATGGGATATGTTCAGCCAGAGCCTGCCACATGCTGAGAATTGAATGACAAGAACTGTCATCACCACTCTTTCTTCTCTTGGCCAGAATGTGGCCATTTCCAGCAGTGTTCTTGGGCTTGGATGCTGAAACTCGGCGTCTGCACGCCTCTGCACAGGCAAGGGTGGGTGCAGGGAATTTCAGGGCCAGCCTGGCTTGGAGCCTCCCTAGGTCCTCAGGCTTGGATGAGTCTGAGCATGGGATTAAGGTGTGGTTGTTGCTACCCAATGATCTGGAAAGCCTGGCTGAAGAACCCATAACCTCCTCCCCTACCCCCACCCCTTACCTGCTTGGGGTGCTGTGGGGAGGAGGAACCACACTCTTTGGGACCTGCCCACCCCTCAGGGTGATCTAAGGGGGAAAGGGGCGGCTACCCTTTTGTCCAAACTCCAGACAACTCTGAAGGTCAAACCCTGCTTTATCACTCATTGTGGGGTCCATTAAAGCCACTGTTGTGATATCCCTCTGCTCAATCCTGCTTTCCTCCCCCAAGCAGATATTAATCTGAATAATGCAGTTGACCCTTGAAGAGCATTGATCTGAACTGTTTGAACTGTGTGGGTTTGCTTATACATGAATTTTTCCAATTGGCTCGCACAGTTCAAACCCACGTTATTCAAGGGTGAACTCCATGGCTGGGAATCTGTGTATGCAGAGGGCCAAGTATGGTGATACGCAGATTTTTTACTGTGTGGGAGGTCAGCGCCTCTAACCCTGGAGCTGTTCAAAAATCAACATACTAATCACCAGCTCAAAATCTGCTTCCTGGGGAAGCTAATGTGCAACAGAAACTGCCAGGCAGAGAATGTCCTGGAGTAATCAAGGAAGGCTTCATAGAGGAGATGGTGGTTATGTTGGGAAGAGTCTCAACATGTGTAGAGGGGGTGTCTTAGGGATGTCATTGTGCCAGTGGGCACAGAAGGGCATGGGCAGTTGCCATAGCAAAAAGAACACAACCACTTAACTTACTTTGTGACCTGGGGCCAGTTATTCCACTTCTTTGAGCCTCAGATTCCTTCTCAGTAACAGGTGACTGCTAATCTCCATCTTAGGGCTCTTGGGAGGTTTTCAATCAGGGTAAGTTTCTTAGCTTCCTCCCCATGGCGGTTGGGCCAGGTAGGTCTCCTGTGCACTGCCTTCTCCCTACCTCCTTTTAAAAACATCTTCACTTCACCCTTATGACAATCTTGCAAGGTTAGCACGATTTTCCCCATTTCACAGATGGAAACACTTGGGCCAGGAAAGGAAAATGATTTTTTTTTAGAGCACATTATCATTCCTTCATCAAAATTTTTAAAATGAGCATCTGTTCTGTTCTGGGCTTTGGAGTCACGACGACGAACATGACAGAAAAGCCTTCCCTGGGGCTGACATTCTAGTGGAAGAGAGAGAAAAACATGAAGTAATAAGTGAACCAAACTATTTCCAGCTATGCTATAAAGACCACCGATGATGGAGATGGGACTGAGAGTGATGGGCTCCTTTAGAGCTGGTTGGGGAGGGCCTCTCTGAGGAGATCACTCTTGAGCTGAAACCTGGAGAAGGAGCCAAGCTAAGAGCAGAGATCTGGGCAGAAGAAACAGCTGTCAGCACTGACTGAGCACCTCTTATGTACTGTGTGAGATAGTTACTATGATTATTCCATTTTTCCGATATGGAGACTGAGGCCCAGAGGCAAGAACCCGAGACAAATAAGATCTGGGCACTTTCTAGGAATTTATGGGAAATCTGAGCAACTAGAATGAAGAAGAAGAAAATGATCTTCAAGTTGGTCTGTGGTTTCTAATTTCCAGGAGTTTCCCCAGACAGAAGTGTAAGTCTAAACTGAAGCTTATTTGGCAAATAAGCAGCTAATCTTAGGGTTAGAGGTGGAGATTTGGCTGTCAGGTGCTCAAAACAAATCCCCACAACCCTGGAAAAAGAGAGGAAGAAAAAAATTAACCCTCTCCCCTCTCAAAATCCTGACGGAGCTTTGGAGAACAAGCCTGAAGCCCCAGCTACCCAGGGTGGGATCCACCTCCAAGGCAGAGATAAAGCCCATTGTCCCTAGCTGCCTCCCTCCAGATGTTCAGCA